TTCCTGATGATGTGCCTCACTACTCCTGATGATGTGCCTCACTACTCCTGATGATGTGCCTCACTACTCCTGATGATGTGCCTCACTACTCCTGATGATGTGCCTCACTATTCCTGATGATGTGCCTCACTACTCCCGATGATGTGCCTCACTATTCCTCTAAGATCGGTGTTTTGATGGGTTTTTGCGTAGCAGAGTTGTTGGATGAGCTGCAAGTCAAAATTGGCAACAGATAACATCTGAATATTTATGAGCGTGTCTCATTGTTCGAGCGTTGGTACTCTGAGCTGAAGGAGTTCAAGAACACAGCCAGCTGATGGATGAAGACATCCATCCCCAGCGTATGCCATGCCTTCCAGGACTGGGAGTCAGATGGGAGCGATGCGCGGCGCAGGAATGCCTGGCCTCGGGCCGTAAATAAACTCATAAATTCATTAGTGAGCGCTGAACGAGCAGCATCCCTGCCATAAACCAGTTGACCCTGTCAACTTGGCAGCTGTCATGACCTCCACCTGTGACGGTATCAGATGTGTGTGTGGGGGGGTGCAGGGACAATATTTGTTTAAGCTGATAACTGGGGGTCGTAGATTGTGTGTGTTAGTGTGTGTGTGTGTGTTTATATTGATAGTGAATGGTGTGTTTAGAAGCATATAAACTGGTCTGAATGAGATCATGCTAAACAATTAACTTGTACCTTTTGTTATTGATACTCCTGCTTTCACACACCCTTGTTATTTGATTGCAGTAACGGTGTGTGTGTGTGTGTGTGTGTGTGTGTGTGTGTGTGTGTGTGTGTGTGTGTGTGTGTGTGTGTGTGTGTGTGTGTGTGTGTGTGTGTGTGTGTGTGTGTGTGTAGCCTCCAACAGCAGCATGCTTAATGGCCTGCAGCTCAAGCTAGACACCATTAACATTCCAGCTGTGGAGAATTTGGCATGCAGTGGGAAGCATGACAGGACAGCTACACCCCCACCCTGCCTCGCCACACACACACACACACACAGACCCACACCCACACACACACCTTCTCACACGCACGTGCACACACACACACCACTTCCAGCACAGAATGTCATTTATTTAAAGAGCTATAAGCTCCAGTGAGAAGATTAAAAACAACTAAGACGGTTTCAGATATTTTCTCTTCTTGTCTCTTTCTGTCAAGGTGCTGTCCCTCTGTCCCTCTGTCTCTGTCCCTCTGTCTCTGTCTCTCTGTCCCTCTGTCTCACTGTCTCTGTCCCTCTGTCCCTCTGTCTGAGTGTTCACAGATTCAGTTTTAAACGTCCATAAATGAACGTGACAGATTAGCTTGTTACAAAGTTGTTGGTGTCAGTCGTGAGCACCTCCATCTTGTCTTCCAGATGACTGGAGCTGTATTTCAAAACCTGCAGAGACCTCTGCTCCGACACCTAACCACCTGAGGCTGCAGCCACAAATATCCCCATCTAAAAACTGGTCCAATGTTACATAAATAATCATTAAAACTGGTCCAAACCTGCCTATCTTCCTCCATTTTTAAAGTTTATCTTTAATTAGATTCATTTAGAAATGTGGGGGCGGCTGCAGAGGTGGGTACAAAGCGAGTAGAGGCGGGTTCCATGTGGGCAACAGACAAATGTGCACGCCCAGGTATGTAACTTTACAAGCCGTGCACACAAAAACAGGCCATGTTTTTAAAAAACTGTCCGTCCAAACCCTCAGTGAGACTGTAGCAGAAGAATCTGCACATGTTCTCACAGTTTTGATCCCCAACAGTCACAGCTCAGTCAGATCCCGTCTATCCTGACGTGTTGTCTCCAGTTGTTCGGAGAACCTGCTGCTGCTGACTCATCTGTCCTCCTACAGGTAGAAAGTTTTCCAACACAGGTCCCTCCCTGACATGCTATTTGCCCCTGCAGGCAAACAAATCTCATCGCGCTGCACGGCAGATCCAAATAGAAACATTTACAGGCAATCAGCCGGGCAAGCCTCGTGCTGTTGCACAAAGTGTTGTGGTAACTTCAAAACCACTCTGAGAACCAGGAACGTTCTGCTTCATACAGGAGTGCATGATGCACATGAACACACGTCTGCAGGACAATGCAAATGATCTGTATGCATGCAAACAAACTGTGGCAACAGGGAGAGAAGCAGCAGGTCTGTGAGCTGGGACCAGGTCCAGATCAGTGATGACTGTTCTGCAGCTCCGGTTTATCACAAACACTTGATCGTGACAGGCGACGATGAAAAGATGTTTCATGTTTCAACTCATGTCGACAGAGATTAAAATGTTTATCTGGCACAAACTTCAGCCCCTCCCTTTTGTTTAGGTGAGCTGGAAGCAAAATCCAACAAATAAAGACCGAGCATCCTAGAGGGAATGCAAATCTCCTGCTGCCTTTTGGGCTGAAGATTTAAAATGTTAAACTGCAGCCTTTCAGCTACTAACACACCAAACTGTAGCTTTTCAGCTACTACCGCACCAAACTGTAGCCTTTCAGCTACTACCGCACCAAACTGTAGCCTTTCAGCTACTAACACACCAAACTGTAGCCTTTCAGCTACTACCGCACCAAACTGTAGCCTTTCAGCTACTAACACACCAAACTG